GCTGCCTCACATTCCAGAGATAAACCAGTCATAGTTAGTGGAGTTCCAATGATCTTATTTTTAATAAGATGAATCTTATTTATAAAGGATCCCATAAAATCATTACAGCTAAGAGCGGTTAGAATGGACGGTTCAACATAGTCTGGATTTATTCCAGAAATTGTTGTTAAACATTGGGTTGTGTTTGGTCCCTCTGATTTTATCCCACTTTAGTCCAATAATAGATGTTTTAAACTCAGTTTTCTACGTCTTTTCAACCATCTGAAAAATTTGCTTGTGGGACCAAAAAAAAAAAAACAAATTGGTTGAAAAGATGACAGGATTTACATCCAAACAACATCTAACATTCAGCAGAAAAGTGACATAATGTTCAATTCTTGGACCAAAGTGGGATAAAATCAGAGCGACCAATCACAGCCCAATATTTAACAATTTTTTCTGGACTAAATCCAGATTATGACGGACCGACCAGATGAAGCCTAAAAACCGTCTAAATGACGTTTGGTGTTAGGGTGGGATGTGTTATAGTGATCAACCACCATCAGACCCCAACTACAAAGGAAAGCTTATGTTTAGGTTTTCAGAACTAGTGGTATGCACACAATATTCCTCATACTAGTTTACTCTGAAGTTCTTTGAGCGGATGGCTGTTCTACTTCTATTGGTTTATTGTTGTGAATCCTTCCACAGGCTGCTTGACCAAATCCCCCTTAAAGCGAAGCATATTGTTTAAGCTCCTGATTTACCTGCTTTTTTCTGGGCATCACAGAAATCCCCCAGTGTCTTGGCTGCAGCCATTAGGGAGCCACTGTCTCTTTTGCTCAACTTAGTGGTGATCCAGTCAGTGCCAGCGTAGTGACGCACTTCGAAGTCCTGCTCACAGGAGATAAAAATCGTTAGCAGTTATCATGAAAAAGAAGCGTTAAAACAGCCTGCTGTCATTCATACCTTATTTTGCTCTTGGACGTCATACTTTGGACATGGATAATCACTGCAGGATGGAGCTTGACCCCTGCTGTACGACACCAGAACTAGAGTTATAAGTGAGAACAACAGCTTCTCCATCTTCTCTCCACAGACGCCTCAGACAGACTGTCTTTAGTGCTCTGGGACATGAAACTCATCATTTTTAAAAACCAGATCATCCTGTCAAACCACCCCTCCTGCATAGCTCTCCAGCCTACAGGACAAACAGGATGCTTTCTTTTCTTTTTACAGTTTTAGCTTTCAAATCACCTTCATCTAATTTAAAGTGAGAGTTACAGGGTAGAGACTGAAAAGATCTGTGAAAATAAATCGGTTTCTGTTCCTGGGGGCCCCATAAAACTCTGTTTACACGTTAATACAACTATACCTTATTTTTGCACATTATGTTTTTGATAAAAAAAATCCTTTTTGCTAAAATGCCATCAGAACGCTTATAATATTGTGACTCAGCCCCCCCCCCC